TGTACTTATTGACCATTTGTATATCTTTGGAGTAATGTCTTTTCAAGTCCTTTGCCCATTTTTTAGTTGGTTCTTTGTCTTTTTATTGTTGAATTGTAACAGTTCTTTATATGTTCTCATTGTCTCTGAGATAACTTTCAATAGGTAACAAAATGCTTCAACCTCTATCATCATTATCAAAACACACTAATGGATAAACCCGCCCACCGCTGCATTTCCTCCTGCCTTGCACTTGCCTGTTGTTTTGGTGGAGCACGTTCCTCTCCACTCGGTGCTTGCTCTATGGTAGTAATAACACGTATGTGCCAGGTAACATCCTGCATTTAGAACGCATGACACTTTTCAGAGCATTTTCCTAGGCACTCTTTTATTTGTGTTTTTCAATTATTATCTCTGTTTTGTGGATGAGGAAACAGAATCCAGGGTTCAATCACTTGCCCAAGGTCAGAAAGCTAATTGANGACAACACCAAGCCAAGGGTTGAGATCCCCTTACCGGTCATCTTTTAAAAAAAAAAAGAAGAAAGCAAATTGAGAGTAACTGAACTGAAAGCTAATTGAGGTTCTATTCCTTGCCCTGTGTTTTTTCCCTGGGCTGTCTTTGTCTAGGCTGAACTCTCCAGTGCTGATCCTTCTGGTCTTAGGGCTCTTTTCTATTTACCCATTCTAAAATATATTCTTCTCTGATTTTTTTTTTATTTATCTACCCCTCCCACTTTCAGTTAATCCCTAGTGATCCTCCAGTACTCTCAAACTGAAATGCCTCACTTGAATACAGCAGCAGTAGTAGTAATAGTAGCAGCAAAAAAACTGACAGGAGAGCATGTCTTCCCAATGATGTTCTTCACTGGTGTGTGTCCTATACTTTTTGTATAGGTCAATGAGCTCAAAGCCTCCATGCAGTCAGTTTTACAGGAGTGGAAGACTTATGACAGACTCTATGATGAAGTGAATATGATGACAGTCCGATTCTGGTACTGCATGGAACACAGCAAGCCTGGGGTGTTATCGTTGGACGCTTTGAGATGCCAGGTTCAGAACCTTCAGGTAAATCAACCAGAGCTTGGCACGTGCATTACTGGCAGCAAATTCCAAATGGCAGCAAGTGCAGTAATGGATATGATTCTGTCTTGTGCCCTACGTCGGGAAACACAAGACAGTATTTTAAACAGTTGTATCAAAAATTAACTGGAAATTCCAAAATGAGTCACATGAACCAAATCAGTAAAACTTCGTAAAACTGTACATTGAATTTTCCTTCATTTT